TATATATATATATATAGACGGAGATGAGGGAGAACGCAGCCAGAAAAGAAAAAAACACCACGTAGGGAGGGATTGAAATTTTATACGTATTCACGTAACAAAGCATCGACTTTGGTGAAATTGGAGGAGAAACTGGCAGATGGAGTGAAAGAATAGTGGCTGAATTGAGATTGGGCAGCTTCTGAAAAGAGAAAAGGACCTGCTACTGGATAATATATATACACGCAACAGCAGAGAGAAGGCAGCAATTAATATTTTATTTTCACGCGTTGGCCGGCAAAAGCAACTAAAATTAACCACGTTTCGTTAATTTTTCGTCATTTCTTTCTACTTTTGCGTATTTAAATTCAACATTATGAGTGATTAAATATTTTTATGTTAGGATTGATGATATAGTTTAAATTTTTATTATATGTTTAATTTCAATATTTTCATATCATTTTACTACTTCTTAATTAATTATTGTGTGTTTAATGCTTTTATTTGTTTGCGCAATAATTAATTGATTTAGGGATAATACCGAGAGCGAGAGGTGGCGTATAATTCTAGCTCGTGCAATAATTAACATTGACATTATAAGAGATCGAGATATAACTATAATTTGTGCTATCTTTGTTGAATTCCTATAAATAAATGCGTTTATATGTGTGTGAAATTATATAGAGATATAGTAAGTTCGGGCATATGAATNTTGAGAGAGATCACTAAATACAACACGTTAATTCGATTGTTGGCACGTGTAAAAAATGGTTGAATAAATAGAAATTAAATGTGCGATAAATAACCTAAGTGAAATCGAAAATCCTAACTATCCAATTACGTAATCTTTTCTGCAGTTTTAGTTTTAGTTTGTTATTTTAATTAATAGTTTATTGTTTTATTTATTAAAATTTCACGTAGAAAATAAAATTTGATTTGATCATTAGTCACCATTTTAATTTAAATTGAAATTAAATTAGTTTAAAACGTTATAATAAATACTAGTCTCCATGGGACAATATTCGAATTTAATAAATCCACTTTATTAGTTGTCACGATCCGTACACTTGCGGAATTTCACGAAATGAAGACCTTATGCCTGGCAAGTTGTGATAACCTCTGTTTTTTTGGTAGTGGGTTTGGATACATATGCCTTACAATCTTGTGAAATCTTCAAGAAAACAGATTTGGATTTTGATTCGTTTGCTTATAGTGCTGCAATACATGCATGTGGGGGCGGGGGATATGGTGAAAACTGAAGGGCATTGAACATGTTTATGCGAATGCAAGATGGGGGACTAGAGCCCAATAGTGTTACCTTCATTTTAAAGCTGGCATGGTTGAAGGCGTGAAGAGGATCTATAGCCAATTAATATATGGAGCAATTGAGCCTAATGAATTGTAGTACCAGGCAATGATAGATGCATATAAAATTGCCAACAGGCATGACCTTGCTGAATTGGTTCATCAAGAAATGAAATTCGCTTCTGATGAGCATCAATTTACAGATTCTGAAAGTGATGATGACCCAGAGGAAATGAAATTCGCAAGTTATTGTCAATAAAGTGCCCATTTTCAGATTCTGATGGAATTAGATCCCAGTTTTCTGAGTAAGAAAGCAAATGAACATTGGCTCTCTTGAAAATGCGTCCATATCAATGCACGAATCTCTATGTTTGCTCTTCGTTTTCGTATTGATTTTTTGGTTTTGACTAAAATTGTATCCTAATGCAACCTTTTTTTCTGTTGGGATAATAGATATTTTGTGAAGGGATCTGGGACCAGAAGTTCACTGTCACTACCATGGGACTGGAGTGAGTTTCTCTTTTGTGTCATTATTCAGGCGAATTTTGGTTTTAAGTTTTGAGTCATGCTACGCTTACCAAATTTTGTACCAAATCTTTTACACCCCACTCACCTTAGGGGGTCGGGACCACGAGCTGACATTTTTGAAAATACATGGGGCCCGCGCTTTTGTGGGGGGTGGGGGTGTAAACCATTCGGTAACCCATTTCTGGCACACTATCATTTTCCTTAAGTTTTTGCTCTAGCTAGGGTGTTGGAGATTCGAACCCTGGTTTTGCTACCTTATATTTTATCAAAGTCGCATTTTATAAAACACGGTTTTACTTATAAGCTGGCTTGGTGATCTGCTGACACATGTCTTCAGTTCTGACCGTTGGATGAAATCTGGATTGCGATCTATATGCTGGCTACGACTGTTCACTTCATTCTGGATTCTTCTCGCGTTCAAA